AGAAAATTAATCAAGATGAAAAAAAATCAGGATCTTTATTATATGCTAAAGTAACTCATGGATTATTGGTGTTATATATGGTAACAGCAACAAGATTACTACATGCACAATGATGAATAGTATAAAAATACCCTCAACCAAGGATGAATAGCAAAGATGGTAGAACTTTACAGAAATTGCCTAAATTAACTTGTTTGATTAGAGAAGTAATAACTATTACTGTTATAAAAGATTAGAAACTAGTGATTTCTGAATTTACTAACTTTATATGTTGTATATGTATATGAGGAGATGGGAATTATGTTATGTAATTGTGAAGAGGGAAATTGTATCAAGTATTGTCTATAACTATTGCAAGGAAAATCATAAATTGCTTCTTTAAATACTTTTTCTTCACTTTATTTTGTTCTTTATCGTTTGTACTTTTATTTTTGTATTTATTTTTTAACTTTGTAAAAGATTCTTTAATAACAATTATTTTTTAAAAAGATATATGCTAAAGCAACATATGTGGAAATGCTGAAAGGGAATTTCTATGTTGGGATACATTGGTTAACATAATCCATACTTCTCCTAGAATATTAGGGAAATGAAAACCTATATAATTCATTCTACAAGAACTTTCCAATTCAAAGGATCATTTAGAAAAGTAAAAAAGTATGATTTCCTTTTTCTTTAATATTGTATAGGCATTATGCATGTTTTAGACAATATTAATCACAGCATTGTATATTCTATTTCTCTTCAAAATATCTAACAGTTTATCAATAAGCAAATTGTTTAATTGAACAACCATAGAGTGTTTATTGTGTATCTGTTCATTTATTTTTAACACATTTTTACTGAGTGCCAATAAATACATTGACAAAAATTTTGATGGGGCAATGGAGTGGGAGTATATTCTTCTTATATTCTAAAATGTTTGAATTTAGCACATATACCATGATCTTCCATATTTTTCAAAGCAGACAAATGATTCAAAAAGCAGCTAAGTGGACTTGTCTAAGAAACTAATCTAGTTCTATCTGTCTTATGCAGCAATTGATTCTACCTTAAATTTAGGGATATATTTCTTAATTTGAGCTAGGATTTAATTTGATTGTTAGTCATATATTAATTCATATCTCATATTACTATAAAATGAATCTTCTTCAAGTCAATAAGACTGATTCGAGTCTGGTTCAATATATTTAAAAACAATACAACACAGATTTAAGAGCAAGACTTGCAGTTGGCATGTTCATGAATAGTTCTTATCAAAGAGGTTGGAAATAGCCAGAGGCTTTCACCATTTGCTCAGGTAACCCTCTACAGCTTGAACAGAACACAATTTTCTTTAAAAGAGTATTCTTTCTGTATAGAAAGAACTGACATATTTTTGCTTCCAGGAATGAAATGTAATTCACTCCCTTGAAGCATTAGCAGCAAAAATAAATTTGAAAATTCAGTTGTACAAGAGAGGCAGGCACTCTTTATCAATATCACTACTATTACAATATCGTTAATATATCAGCAATCCTCTGTGATATATTTTAAAAAGCTCAAATGTGGTAAATATTGCAGTGACTCCTGCTAGTGCTTGTTACTGGTAATTTTGGGCCAAGAGCCTCAGATTCAGAAGTAAGTGTCTGAGCTCCCTTTATGTTCCCACTAACACAGAGAGAGGTAAATCCAAATAAATCTCTTTTAATAAAGCTAAAGAAAAAACTGTATTTAGGTTTATATTCTATGCAAACGTGTATCTTATTTCTCAGTTTTAATCATTATAAACATTGAACATAACAGTGATACACACACAACCCACATAAACTGACCACATGGACCTCTAAATCTAAATAATAACATTTCTTCCATCTTTATATAGTATTCCCTAGGGAAATGTATTTTACACTGTTAAGAATTAGTTGCACAAACTTTTTTTCTTATACCATCAAGCTTTAATACATATTATTGAAAATTCCTGTGACAGCTGGACAAATCCCCTTATCCCTCACAAATTAAGCAAGATGGGCAGCAGACAAATCTAAATTTGGGGTGCGATCGTTTTTTTAAAAATCAGCAAAAACTAATTCTAGTAGGTGTTACCTAACCTACAGAAAAAAGAATGTACATGAAGTCCGACAATTTCCAGTCAGTTTTGTTCCCATAACTGACCTACAGAGAGAAACTGATTAAAAGTATCTGCAGCCTTTCAGAGATGGATGGAAGAAGAAAAGTAAGAATCATTTGGCAAGGGGAAAAAAATGGGCCCAGATATTTAGAAGCCACAAGACCCCTAAAATGCAGTCTTTGTAATCTCCAAGTTTCCTATTTGACTGACAATAGCATCATGAATAGCTTAGAGTTTTATGTTAATTTATGTTAAGTATAATCTCTATTAGGTCTAAGGTTTCTTCCAAATATTAATCTATTATTCACCATTCTTCTAGGCCAGTTTTATTCAACCTTGGCAACTTTAAGATATTTGGGTGTCAACTCTCAAAATTGTGCAATGTGTAGATGCATGTTAATCCTGGCAACTATGTTTTCTTTAGCAATTTTAGCTTCCTAAATTATTTTCTTTTCGTATTTTATGATATCTTGATTCAGACTGTTTAATATCTATGTATTTTCTGCCTCTGTTTAAGAAACTGTTATGTCAGAGTAGTAAGTTATATTAACATGCATTAAGTAACAGGGATTCTTTTCAAATTTAGTTTTTGCAATGATAAACTTTCTTTCTCTCTTAATTCTTTGCAGGGTACATACCCAGTTATTTAGACAAGGATGAGTTATGTGTTGTTTGTGGTGACAAGGCCACTGGATATCACTATCGTTGTATCACTTGTGAAGGTTGCAAGGTAATGATAGCAGTGTAAATGAATAAGAGCTAGAAATCATAAGTTAGTTTGATCTCCTATTATAGATATCACATTGGTTTAAATGCCATGTAGAGACAGCATATGTTATATATAGCAAAACAAGAATATTCCTTTTATAATATCACAAAATAATGTTTGTGCTTGCAATAGAAAAAAGGCTCCCATTTTATTGATTGATTTTAGAATTTTAATATACAATAACAATAAAAAATCATATGAGGTATAAGAAAAAGAAAATACAGTCTAGAATTATGACTTCCTCCCTTCTTTTTATTGATTAGTTGCAGTCTTACTCTTTTATCTCCCTCTTCTTTGTAATTATCTTCACAGAAAGAAGGGTCTCAGCATTTTCAAAAACTTGCTTTGGACTATTCTGTGCATAATATTTATGTGTAAATAAATACTAGTCCCCACTAGCACTAGTCTGAAAGCTTGCAGAACTAAACATCTGGTCCCATTGACTGATTCGGATTGGATCCTGCAGTGTTTTATATAAGAAATTAGTTGTACTGACTGGGATTATGTTTTACTTGCTGTCCTTTACCTTCGGTCCTTTATTAATGACTTGGAATTGAGTCCTGTTCTCTCAAGGCCACGTATCAAACATATCTTCCTTTGTAGTCACCACCAGCTATACGTTTATGTCAATTTTAAAGCAGAAGTGGGCAAGGATTTTTTTTTCTACAGCTGCAAAGTGAAAGAAGGTGACATGGTGACTAGTAATCACTAAAAGCAAAGAAAGAATTTTAATTAATTTTTTTGTGGTAGAGTTCAGGATACTTATTTTTTAATAAAAATAAAAATCGTTGTGCTAAATCTGTCAGAGATGTATGCAATATAGTATTTATTTAGCTTAAAATAAGTTATTTGCTACTAAATTCTACTAGCATGTTCTTAGGGGCTTCCAAAGGCCTCAAGCTGGCCACTAGTTATGCTGTAAAAATATTTAGAAACTGGATTTTTCTTGCATCTACCTCACTGATAAATAAATGAAACAGTTCACACATCACACTAAGTCAAACTACATAATGGCTTAATGCAGTGTGTGAATTAGCCATCTTTAGGATGCAGTAAATTTTGCTAATGTATTTTATAAATCACTTTGTAATAGTATTCTTAACAGAGGTCTTTGTTTCATAATCCTCCTAATAAAATTGTTAATCAATTTATAATTAATTAAATAAATCATAATTTACTGCACCAAAGAATTTTTCATTTTTTATTTTAGTTCTGTAGCATACTGTCAAAGTGGTACCAGGTATGTGGCCACTGATTTCACTGAGTCTATAATTCATCTTCAAAACTGTAAGAGAGGTAAATGGTAAAGAGGTTCTCCTCTCTTTAGAGCTAGTTTCAGCTTCTGGTTTCTTCATATATCAGCATAGCAAATGGAAATGAGATACTGTTTTATATACATTAGGTTAACCTTAAAAGAGATTTCATTGTATGTTATAAACAAAAATTATAGCTAAGCCATTCTTATACATTTCAGATAAATAAAGTACAGCCTAAAAAATACTCTTGGGATCTGTTTGGTCAAAATGTCTGTGAACTGAATCCATCTAAAGTGTCATGCTATAAAATCTAATTTAATACCTATCTAATGTGCATTCAAATTTTATGTATCAGTAACATTACAGTTTACCAGAAGGTAATTTTTTACAGAGGTCACAGATTACTTGTACGAGTAGGATGTCAGCAGTATACAAGAATTACTAATCATTATTTTCTTTTAGAAAACAGTCCATGAACCGGAAAAATCCATCAGACCTTTTAATCTTCTGTCCTTTAAATCAGCTCATCTATAGTAACTAAACAAAAGTTGAGTACAGTTGAGTACAATTTCTCCAATTAAATAGTTGAAATCAGGTGCAGCATGAGACATGTTCTTATTTGTCAGGAGTTACTTCTAAAGTTATCTTTTAAAAAATGAAATAAGACGTAAAACTGATGCCTAACTTAATATTATAGTTAAGCTTCAAATTCCCAGTAGACAGAGTGGCCAAAGAAAATATAATTCCAGAATCAAATCGCATATTCTTAAGGGTTTATAAATAAATACCAAAGTAAAATGTCCTGCGTACTTTATACAGAAAAATCAGTGATTTGGTAAAATTTTGTAAATTCTTATTCACACAGGGATTTTTCCGAAGAACAATTCAAAAAAATCTTCATCCAACTTACTCCTGTAAATACGAAGGAAAATGTGTAATAGACAAAGTCACAAGAAACCAATGCCAGGAATGTCGCTTCAAGAAATGCATCTATGTTGGCATGGCAACAGATTGTAAGCTTTTTTAAATTTCCTGTTTGTTTTCTTTAGATATGTTTATTTCAATTTTTGTGATAATCAGTTTTTTATTTCAATTTTTAATTTATATTATATGCCAGTTGAAAATATTGATTATTTTTTTCTGAGCTTTAATTTTCTGTTAACTCTTGAAAAGATTATGCTTTCTTCTGGCCAAATGATTTTGTGCAATATTAAGAAGATGAATAATTTCTGTCACAGAAGTGGGAAGATTTCTGAGCAAAGTCCTGCAGAGGAGGGGGGGGGGAATCAAGCTTAAAGATTTGGGAAAATGGGAAGTTGGATAATGTTGCATGAGTCATCCTGCGGTTGTTTGTTTTATTTTTAGTCAGAACTAAAGGGAACACTATTTCACTTTTAAGAAAATAGAATATATGGCTGCAAAATTAACTCTTTGCAAGGTTGTATTCCCAAAGTTTCTCAGCAAATTTGCAGGAGCATCTTAATTAATGTGAATTGGAGTAATTATAATTAAAAATTGCAGCCTCAGCATATTAGTCTTAATGGTTTATAAGAATATAACAAAAATCATATTAAAAATATTAAAGTAATCCATTTTTTTCAAAACTTCTATATGTGTAAAGAGGTGTATAATTGTTTAAATACATATAAAAAAATTCCAAGCTACTTAGCTCATGAATAATTAAATTACTAATCACGATGTCTATATATTATCTTAATATCCCAGGTAATGTACTTCTAAATACTATTTGTTGAGCAATATAAGACTGGAACAGTAGCACTGTGCTCAATTATCTGGGTTTTCTAAATATTTAGTAGAAGCTGTACACTATTTTTGGTAGTGCTTGCTCTGATCCAACAGGATTTTATCTAGGTGCTTATGCTTATGTCTATTCTGATTAGCAATGTCTCTTCAGGTATGAAAATTAGGTTTTTCATATACCTCTCCTTCTTCCTTTTAATTAAAAAGTTGCATGCTAAATGGGTTCTGTACCATTGAGTAGGCATGATTAGACACAATAATTTTGGACAGCATATTTCCATGCAGCATTTTTTCTCTAGATTTGGGATAAAATGTTAGTAGTAAAATGCTTTATCATTTAGTGATAAAGAGAGTTAGTGTTACTTTCTTAGAGGTATATCTTGACCAGAAATCTCATTTTCTGTCTTCTCCACTGTGTCATATAATATGGTAGCAATAACACTTAGACTTATATACCACTCCATAGTGCTTTATAGCACTTTCTGAATGGTTTACAGTGTTAGCATATTGTCCCCAATAATCTAGGTTCTTTTTACCAATCTCAGAAGGATGGAGGGCTGAGTCAATGGGATCGAACTCCAGACTGATTATCCCTTTTTTCCAATCTCTACAATGGCTAGTCTGCCAACTATGGAGGATATGTTCTCACACCAGAGTCTCTGGGCAATTGCCATGTCACTGAGGCAGGCTAAAGACAAGTGTTTTCAGTAAAAAATACTATAAGACTTCCACCATGAAAACGTCTTGATTCAGTGGAGGAAGAGTCCGAAAGAAATTGGCAACCTGTAGGGCACGGGTCGACAACCCGCAGCTCCAGAGCCGCATGCAGCTCTTTCAGCCGTCTCCTGCGGCTCCCAGCCACGTGCAGTGTCAAAAAAAAATAGGACTAAAAAAGTTGAACAGCCCTTTAGCAAGAAGCCGGTGGTCCAAGCGGAGTGGCACGGAAGACCTACCGGTTGGTGTGGGAGGCTCCAGCATTGCAGGTGAACAAGGCCTGACGTCCACAGCCCAGTTCCACATCCCGACAACCAGCTGGACCGGCTTTCACTGCTTCTTTGCAAACGAACGCAAAAGGTTTTGGGGTTTTGATCGCTGCTTAGTTCGTGCTGCCCAGCATCTGCCTGCCTGCCTGCTTGCAGGCCTCCGTGCTCCTTCCCTGAAGCATGCAATTGCTCAGAGCCCGTCCCAAAAGGTGCTGCTTCCCTGGCAGGAGCCAAGTTTGCAAGCCTCATTGGCAAGTCGGAAAAACAAAGTCTGGAGGATTCCCTCCTAGTCCTGGGCTGACGGGGGAGGGGGTGGGGGTATCTGGGGACTAAAAAGTCCTCCAAGACAGGCTCGGGACCAGCCCTCTTTCCCCAGCCACAGGAGAAGGGGAGCACAGGCTCTCCACCCAGGCGGGCAGGTGAGAAAAACCCCGAAAGCAGGAGGGAACCCTCCGGACCTTTGGTTTTCTCGGCTTGCCAATGAGGCTTGCAAACTCGGCTCCTGCCAGGGAAGCAGCACCTTTTGGAATGGGCTCTGAGCAATTGCATGCTTCGGGGAAGGAGCTTCCCTTGCAGGAGCCGAGTTTGCAAGCCTCGCTGGCAAGCCGAGTTCTTTATCCATGTTCTACGCTGGCAATACCCATGAAAATGATTTCATTGAAATCATTTGTGCCGCCCCTCGCGTCTAGGTCAAGATTGTCAAGAAGGGATGAAGTACCACTCTGTAATTGTTGGGGAGGGAAGTGTCATTCATTTATCATATTTTTACCTCGCTTTTTGGTCAGTGCACTCAATTCAGAATCAAGCCCCGTTATGTGTGTGCACATGCGTGTACATGCGTACACGCATGCACACATTCTGCAGTTCCCAGGTTTTTTTTTTGTGAGGGAAACGGGTCCAAGTGGCTCTTTCACCGTTTTAGGTTGCCGACCCCTGATGTAGGGCCCCAACTGGCCTGCCACAGGACCATCCATCCCAGATGATCCTAGCCTTTGTATATCTGTGGCCATTTCCCTTTTGGCTCTTGGAAAGAACAAAGTATTGTTTGGCAGCCATTTTTTCTCTTTTTGCCTGGTGTAAATATGAGTCCCTTATGAAAGTTGTACTGTATTCTTTAAGGTTAATATTCCTATCAGCAACCTCCCTATTGTAACCTCTATGATTGTGGGGGACCCCACTGCTCCAGCATTAGCAGTTTTCCCAGCAGCATAAAAGAACAACGATCACCATCATCAGCATTAAGGAATCTGTGCTAGGGCAGGGGCAGAAAGGAAGTTGACAAAGAATGGGAAGGGTCTCTCCCTTCTCTCTCAATAATACAATAAACAGCAGTAGAAATCATTGTTCATACTCTCATGTGAGGGCAGTGACTGTCCATATTTTCTCCAGTTTTCCAGGACAGGAGAATACATCTTCACGGTATGGGAAAGGCCTCATAAATGTCCTTGCCATATATTCAGTGGTTATGTGAAGAGAAAGTTTGTACTTAAGGCTCCTCTATATCACAGTCAATTGATGGTCAGCCAGGATTCTCTCTTTATGTAATCCTTCATATATTCATAAGGGAGAATCTTCATGTAAAGCTCTTTCATCTTAGCCTCACAGTCAGGTGATGGCTGATAGTGGAATAGCTGCATGATTTCCTCATATTTCATTGGATATGGAAAATCATGTGATTATCCCAGCTACTTCTGCATTCTTTCTCATTTTGAAAAGTACACAAAACTGAAATATTTTATCATAAGATTCTGTGTCTCATCTTTTGATCTTGAAGACATGATACCCTTCTAAGAGATCTGACAAGGATTTTTTTTGAAGCTCAGTTTGCAATAGCATAGAATAGGCCAAACATAATCGCATTGAAATATTTGGTTTTTCTCCATGAATTTCCATTATTTGGAATTCACTTGGATTTGGAAGATGTGCGTGATTAGTTATAAAAACTTCAGATTTTTCCCTGGCTAATCATCCTGTTATTTGTCCACTACCAATCATTCCTACTCAATTATTAAGGTATTGAGTAGTATTACCTGAATAATCAAAAGAGATAGTGAGGTCTATTTCTAGTCTCCTTTTCTATAATATATTCTTTTCTCATTAGTGGTGTTGGATGACAGCAAACGATTAGCAAAAAGAAAACTGATTGAGGAAAATCGGGAGAAAAGACGTCGAGAAGAATTACAGAAAACAATAGGAGTGAAACCTGAACCAACAGATGAAGAATGGGAGCTTATTAAAATCGTTACAGAAGCACATGTGGCCACAAATGCACAAGGAAGTCACTGGAAACAGAAAAGGAAATTTTTGGTATGTGCTACTATTTAGAACTGCCTTTTCCTTATCCAGATGAGCTCTGTGATGAAAGTGTACATCATAGTAAATGTACTTGCTCACCATTCATAGGATAGATTTTTGCCATTTTGATGGAAGAAGCCTAAAATCTATATTATAGGATTAATATAGCAAGAAATAAGCAAGGATCTCAAAATCCCTCTTCAAACTGCAGAAAGCAAATTCTAGCCCATCCATTTGCATTCTCACCCCATTCACTGCCACCCTTGAGCTCCTCCCAGATGTAAATACCACCCTAAGCTGCCAAAGGTTTACATAGATGGGAGTCCATTGCCCTCTATGTCTGAATTATATGACTGCATGCAATGCTTCTGCTTAATATTCCCTGATATACTGGCCCTCCATTCATTTGTTTAACTGTGTTTTAATACCATCTGTATTAGTGCATGCCATCATATTTTAAAGCAGTGAGTAGTAAATTAATAATACAGAATACTTATTATATGGAGAAAAGACTTTTATTGTACCATGCAGTAATTATTTTTTTTAAATAGAACACAATAGATTATGAACACATGGTTATTTCTCACATAGTTATTGCAATAAGTAAACAAAAATCCTTAATAGTAATCCTCTGATAAAACTCCATGGAAACCACTGATGTCATTGGGACCATCATAGCATAGGGACTGTTATTTTTTTATATTCTTATGGCATGTTCTAATATTCAACTATTCTAGTTTAATAGAGGCCAAATATTATAAATTATTATCCTTATCCATTTTATATATTTTTTAACTTTCAAGTTATAACAGCTCCTTCTACAGGAGAAGGATTTAGTTTTGGATAATGGTAGAATAATATAAGAATCATCAGTCCTTACTTTTAAAAAATGAAATATATTGTATTACTGGAGCTTTCAAGCATTCCATAATTTTCTCTGTTAGATGGAGAGAATTCTAAACCAATAGGGTAAATTTTTTCAGTCAAAGGTCCACAGTCAAAAATGGATTAGAACAGAATAAAAAAAATGGGTAGAAACAAGGTTAAAAAAAACTAAATTATATTAATTAAAGTTTATGATCTTATATGATTATTCCCAATTTATTTACAATTTTTGCTCCTATCATATTAAAAACTATAATTCAGTAATACTCTTAGAGGGCATGAACAATCAGAGGTTGTGCACCTTCTAAACTAAATGGAAAATAAAACAACATACAGTGAGTCTAGTCACTTTTAGGAAGTTTTTGAAAAATAAAGTTTAAATGTTCAAATTATGGGTTATCACAATGATTTTCCTACATTAAATACATTAAAGAAGGGCAAGAAAAATAGGTTATTTTGCCCCAGGGAATAGAAATGTAATTACATTAAATGATGAAAAGATAGTTATTAAGGCACTGATGTGCTGCACTTCTCCTGGCCCCATCCATACAGCTCCTTGCCCTGAATGAAGACAACCCATTATTTCTAGAGGATATGTACTTACAGCAGTACAGTATATCATCAGCCCACAATGGAGGCAGTCCAAATATACTTTCTTCTTGAAGTGTTTTTCTTTGTTATCTCAATTCAAGATCTTCCATCTGGACAATCATGGTGCATGAAGGAGAGTGCTAGGAGATGATACAGCGTGAAGAGCAATCTGCTTGGCTTCTGTTGATCCAGCAGGTCTTTTGTGGAACTATCAAATTCTGTTTCATTGATTGGACTGATTTGGTTGTGAGGGCTTTCACTATCACTCCATTTTCCCTGTTGTAACTGGGTTAATCAGGCAGAGAATGGGAAGCCCTAAAATTATTACCCCATCCTTGGCTAAATGAATTTAATTGGAACCAGTGCTTTTTTTCTAGAAAAAAAGGTGCCGGAACTCACACATGTCACACAACCTGCCTTGCCTACCTTATAAAGTTCCATCAAAAAAAGTGCCGGAACTTTTTTGCCCTGATTGGAACTGTAATTGAAAATATGTGACTGTTGCAGTTCTTTGGCCTGTGAAATGAAACATTGCCTTTCCAGTGGCTCCTGTTCTTAACAAAGTCCTGGCCCTTTATTTCATCTCTTCACATAATATTCTTAGAATAGTTTACAGTTCCTAAATTTTGCCAAAGCAAAATCTTTGCTCAAGCTACATTTTTCAGCACTTAGATGGCTGTCAAACACACACACTAATCTGTTTGCTGCCCTCTAGTGGGTTATCTATGAACTCATGGTAATAAGGAATAAATCATTCCATCAGTGGAATAAAGAAAGTAGGAAAAAAATAGTAGTGCATGGAATAACTAGAGCATGTCAGTTGGAGCAGTTAATTTAGAGTATTTGTTTAAATAATTTATAAGAGTTTCTTATTTTCTTCTAATTGTAAAATCATACAACATAGAGAAATATCTATCACACAAATAAACAAATACACTAAGTATAATAATTTAATATTAATATAAATAGCTGTCAATAGCAAGATCAGAAAATAACTATATAGATTGTTCACAGAAATTACTAGGTGACATAATTTCAATGACAATAACAGATAACCTTCATCTTTCAGTCTTTCATTTAATGACCTTCCAAAGTTATGACAGCTCTGAAAAAGTGATCTATGATTGGTCCTTGCACTTACTACCAACAGTGTCCCCACAGTCATGTGATCAAAATGTGGGCAGTTCAGGTTCTTGGTAGCTGACATGAATTTATGACAGTTGAGGCATAACATGATCATCATTTGTGAGCTTTCTAGGAGGCTTCCAAAAAGCAAAGTCAGTGGGCAATCTGGATTTACTTAATGACCATGTGATTTGCTTAACAATCATAGCAAAAAAGGTTATAAAATTGAGCACAGCTTACTTAATGACTGCATTGCTTAGCAATGGAAATGCTGGCCCCCATTGTTGTAAATTAAGTACTACCTGTAATCCATATTACCGTTTTAATTCATAGATATTGAATGTTAATACCAGAAACTTTTATGGGAACTTTTTAATGTGCTGAAATATAGGAAAAGTATACATATCCATGTACAGAGGTTTTTTGACATAAAAATAAATTAAAAACTAGGCTCTAAGGCAGGTAATTGACTACTGCTAAAAAGAAAATTCAGATAATAGATAATTTATAAGTAGTATACACTATTTTTTATTGAATCTATATCTCACATTGTTATGTATCAGCTTCTTTATGAATTTGAACTAGACAAGTATTTGAATTTGGATTCCAAGTATACGGATTCTAAAAACACCCCCACACATCTGGTACTATTCAGGTGCAGAAATTATCTTTGAATTGAACTCTACTAATAAATAAAAACTGAATTGAGCAACAAAATTGTTTGTTAGTTAATATTTGGAATTCTAGAAGGATCCTAAAGGAGGAAAGTGAAATTGCACTTCTGATCAATCCTGAGATTCCATTAGGGAATAGGAAACTGGGTCCAGGTCATTTCCTCAGTCAGAACATCCTATTTAAGGATATAATACTGGTTATAAATATGTGGAAGAGTACCAACACTAAAATTATATTTATTTTAAATATAATCTAAAAATTCTAGAATAGGTATCCTTCCTGTGTTGCAGCAGAATACTGCATAATCTTGTGTATCTTTGTGCTTTGGTGATGCAGTCTTTTGGGAAGACATCTGAAGAAATTGGAACTGACTTGTCAACAGACCTTGGAAACTTTTCTTGTTTCTTCTAATTTTAATTTAGATATAGCCATAGAATTGTAAGCCAGTTTTCCTTTCCAAGAAAGTAGAATTGATTGATTGATTATGTGCCATCAAGCCGGTGTCAACTCTTAGCAACTACAAAGATTTTCTCTGTTATGATCTGTCCCCAACCCAGTCTTTCAGGTATTCTAACAGTGCATCTTAATTTAAATATCAGGGTATGGATTGTTCAACTCATACAGCTTTAGGTTAAGAGACAGGAAATAAAATCTTATACAACTTTGATCTGAATCTCCAAACTTAATTCCATTTTCAAAAACAGGGCAGGTAACAAAAAGTTGAAAAGCCCTTACTGATTTCTTTCCTATCTATTTATCTTATCTGTTAGGCTGTTCCAGCTGAAGAAATATCCTTTGTTTGTCACGATCTTTCAGTGAAGAGTAGTGATCAGAAAACAAAGGGAATAACAGTACATAAACATGTAGTAACTATACAAATGCATACATACATATCCATATACTGTATATACATAATAAACATAAGAAATACAGTTTATGCAAGAGTTAATATGGGCTATCTTTTTAGTTTTCAAAGGAAGAATATTCTTAGATGGGCTAGGGTACAGCCTTAGATTTAGGTTTTCATATACAAGCTGCCACACTGCTTCCATTATTTTTTTAAAATTAGCAAGTAGTTATTACACTTGCAGTATACACAGATTATTACACAAATAATCACTGGTACATCAAAACATATGTACATGGATGTAAATTTATCTTACACAGTAGCCAAGACTTAAAATTAAGCAAAATTAAGTTGCCAACATTGCACAGTTTTAAAAAGAATCCATATTTATGGTAAATAAATTACATTCTTATAATGTTTTTGTTTTCTGTTGTTAGCCAGAGGATATTGGACAAGCACCAATAGTAAATGCCCCAGAAGGTGGGAAAGTAGATTTAGAAGCTTTCAGCCAGTTTACAAAAATTATCACACCAGCAATCACAAGAGTGGTGGATTTTGCCAAAAAGTTGCCTATGTTCTGTGAGGTATGAATTCCTTTTCTATTTAATTTGATAGCATTTTTATTGTTGATATTATTGTTGTTGTCCATAGATGCTTTGTATTATCTTATAATAGTTCAGAACGAAAAAAAAGAAAAAATATGGTCCATGTTGTGCATATAGGCACCCAATACAAGTGGGCTGAAATAAAACATCATTTGACAGCACAGATCAGATCTTATCTTAGAGTTTTCAGTGATTTTTCCAGAGGGTAATAAGAGTATTTTCATCCTGGATCTTTCCCTGTTACTATACTTAATTCAATCTTGCCCCTTTTGGATGGAATTTGGACAGTTTAAAATATCCTTAAGTACCTGTAAATGGGCAAAACAAATTCCACCAACACCCTGAAAAATGCCATTCATTTCTTTTTCTAGTATCATCACAGTATCACCAGGTGGCTTTCTGTAGCCCTTCCAAAGCCAGACATCAGTTTTGCAGGCCTAAACTCATGAAGTACTGTCTATCTCTGGTGTAAAGTAGCAACATGAATTCAGTCAAAGGGCCAGGAACTGCTTTTATGATGTATGCTAGGCTCTCAGAATTTTGACTTACTATTTACCAAGATAGGATCTGAAATCCCTGTGCCATTATGTCTGCTTAGAATTAAAAGGAAGTTATAAAAATACATGGGCCACTCTTCTTTATCTAAGTGAATTCAAATCAAAGTAGAATTTAATATGGAGTAAACCATCTTTCAAATGTAGGTCCTATATAACTGAACAGCCTATAGTCATTTTTGCAACAAACTATAGAGCATACTTAAGAAAGAGCATATCTTTTTCAAGTTATTTTTGTGTATATCAGACATGCCCTGAAGCGGGGTCATTTTATGGATAAATAATGTATTTTTTATCATGCTTAACCTTTGGTAGTGATCAATTTGTTACTTCCAGTTTAATAGCTTAGAATGGCTACCTTTTTCTTTTAGTAAAACTACAGTATATACCTTTATTTCTGTTGCCTAACTCAAAAGAACCATTCTCATTGCAGTCTAATTTTTTCCCAACCTTGTTTTGCAAGCCCTTAGGAAAAGAGAAACTTAATTTGCTGGCTGTGGGTTCATATTAAGACCTTGCCTGCTGTTTCTCTTTCCCATGGTCTTTTTCCTACAACCCCCATTACATTCCAATGTAGAAAACTGTTTGGTGCACAATGGTAGTAGGCCATTATCCAGAATATTGTTGCTGCTATAAGAACCTGGTCATGTACTTCCTTACACCATTTCCTTGCCTTGACTGTTCTTCCTGAGGATAGAGGAGGAGAAAAGGATTATACTCAAATTGATGCTGTTTTCCCTGGAGAAGATGAAAGATATAAGGGCAGGCCCATAAATGAATAGCTTAATATGGATTACATAGAACATAGAATATGCCTATATTGGGCTTCTCTTTTCATATTATAATAAACAAAGTGTGTTCAATCCAAATTGAAACTATTTGCCCACTCCCATTACATATAATTTTTGGATAGCTTTCATGAGACACGGCACCTAAGATTAAACCAGCATGGCTGCATAAAGAACTCTCTGACAAATTGAAAGATAAAAAGGACAAGTACAGAAAGTGGAAAGAGGGGAACATAACTAAGTCAGAATATCAGCAAATAGCCCGAGCCTGCAAAGATGAAGTGAATAAAGCCAAGGCTCAAAATGAACTAAGGCTTGCGACCAAAGTCAAAAATAACAAAAAAAGCTTCTTTCAACATGTAAAAAACAAGAAAAAAGTGAAAGAAATGATTGGTCCATTAGTGGGTGGAAGTGGCAAGAAGGTGACAAGCAACAGGGAGAAAGCAAAACTATTTAACTCATTTTTTGCATCTGTCTTTACACAAAGGGAAAAAACAGACCAACCTATCAAAAATAGTGCCATAAAAAACAAACCAGAAACACAAGTTAAGATAGGCAAGAAAATGGTTAGGGAGCACCTGTCCAGCCTAGATGAGTTCAAATTGCCAGGACCAGATGGATTACACCCCAGAGTTCTCAAGGAACTGGCAGATGTGATCTCGGAGCCACTCAACTATATTTTTCAAAGATCCTGGAGCACAGGGGAACTACCAGAGGACTGGAAAAGAGCTGATGTAGTTCCCATCCTCAAAAAAGGAAAAAAATGGATCCAGGAAATTACAGACCTATCAGCCTGACCTCAATACCTTGGAAGATCCTGGAAAAGATAATCAAACAACGAATCAATGAACACCTAGAGGCAAACAAAGTCATTACTAAAAGCCAACATGGGTTTGTCAAAAATAGATCATGCCAGACAAATCTTATTGCATTCTTTGACCAAGTGACCAAATTAGTGGATCAGAGGAATGCTGTGGACATAATTTACTTGGACTTCAGTAAGGCATTTGATAAAGTAGATCACAACCTACTACTTGACAAGATAGAAAAATGTGGTGTAGACAGAACCACCACCAGATGGATCCATAGCTGGCTGACCGGCCGTACTCAGCGAGTGGTCCTCAATGGAACTGCATCTATATGGAGGGAAGTGTGTAGTGGGGTGCCCCAGGGCTCTGTTCTGGGCCCAGTACTCTTCAACATCTTCAGCAACGATTTGGATGAAGGGATAGATGGGGAACTCATCAAATTTGCAGATGACACCAAGCTGGCAGGAATAGCCAACACTCCAGAAGACAGGCTTCAGGTACAGAAGGATCTGGACAGACTTGAACACTGGGCACTAACTAACAAAATGAAATTCAATGGTGAAAAAAGCAAAGTTCTACATTTAGGCAAGAAAAACCAAATGCACAAGTACAGCATAGGTGGCACCATGCTCAATAGTAGTAACTGTGAGAGGGACCTCTGAGTCCTAGTAGACAATCACTTAAATATGAGCCAGCAGTGTGCGGCAGCTGCCAAAAAGGCCAACACAGTACTAGGCTGCATTAACAGAGGGATAGAATCCAGATCACGCGAAGTATTAATACCACTCTTCAATGCCTTGGTAAGGCCACACTTGGAATACTGCATCCAGTTTTGGTCACCACGATGTAAAAAAGATGTGGAGACTCTAGACAGAGTACAGAGAAGAGCAACAAAGATGATTAGGGGACTGGAGGCTAAAACATATAAGGAACGGTTGCTAGAATTGGGTATGTCTAGTTTAACGAAGAGAAGGACAAGGGGGGACATGATAGCAGTATTCCAATATCTCAGGGGCTGCCATAAAGAAGAGGGAATTAAGCTATGTTCCAAAGCACCTGAAGGCAGGACAAGAAGCAACGGGTGGAAACTAATCAAGGAGAGAAGCAACCTAGAACTAAGGAGAACTTCCTGACAGTGAGAACAATTAATCAGTGGAACAGCCTCCCTCCAGAAGCAGTAAATGCTCCAACACTGGAAGTTTTTAAGAAGAGACTGGACAGCCATTTGTCCGAAATGGTGTAGGGTTTCCTGCCCGAGCAGGGGGTTGGACTAGATGACCTCCAAGGTCCCTTCCAACTTTACTATTATTATTAAATGCTTAAGTTTTTCATTGTGTGGTAATGTCAGTTTAGATATGTCTACTTTGTTTGCTTATTTATTGAATTTACTTGCTGCCCATCTCACTAACCAAAATTCTGGGCAGCCTACATGCATTCTTCAACTTTTCAAAAAGGGAGAATTGACAGTACATATTTAGCATACCATATAATTTACCTATTAGTGGGATATGTATGAAATAGAACAGTTTTTCAGAGCCTACTCAACCTGAACAGAAGCATCTTCTGATATAATCCTAATCTAAACATGTTAAACTTTCATAGACTACATGATTGATGATTTTTGCAATTGGAGTTGACATAAAACAAAACAAAAATGTTAATCCAAATGTCACGTTCAAAATACCCACTCTTCAGATGATATTGTTAAACAGGGAATGGGGAGGAAAATTATGACCCTCCAGATGTTACTAAGCTGCCACTATCCCTTAGCATAGTCTGCAAGCTACCTGGACACTGAGAGTCTTAATTTAGTGATATGGAAGGTATATAGTCATTATATTTTACAACATTGCTTGTTCCACATTGGGTAGCAATATTATTTAGATGTATTTAATCAATTTATTTTTTTTCTGAAAAATTAAAGAAGGATTTAGAGCATTTCAATCAGGAAATGTACTAAGCTCTGTGATTAAAGATGACTGGCAATATAATGGTACAGATACATTTTTAAAAGCACTGATTTGAAAGCACAGCATCTAGTACTAGATTGCAAAGAAACAGCACAGATGCTGTCCATATCTTTGCTGAACTTCTGTTCATGGTATGCTCCCATTAGGAGTTCTATGTCACTGAACCCCGTTGAAATTCAGAGCAAAATCAACTTTTTCTCTCCAGGATGATCTGACTCAGATTGCAGGAGTTTGCTGGATGTTAGGTAGCCAACAAGAAACCTTCAGTCCAATCAGCAAATAAGAGCAAGAGGAACATATAATATTCTTACTGTTAGAGAGCAGTGAGAGTTACAGTTTTCAACATAATAATTTAGCTATGGTTTCCTACATTAGATCAGACATGTCAAACTCGCAACGTCACGTGACAGTGCACAATGTATCGGGACAGTTTTGCCATTGCTGGCAATGGGGTGGGTGCGGCTTCCAGATGGTGTGTCCGGCCCATGGGCCAGCAGTTTGACACCCCTGCACTAGATATACCCATCTCAAGATGTTTCTGAAGCTCACAGTTAATCCTCTATTGCTTTCATTCTCTCTCTCTCTCTCTCTCTCCCTCCCTCCCTCCCTCCCTCCCTCCCTCCCTCTCTCTCTCTCTCCTCTTACTGTTTTAAAATGTGCTTCAGTGCTTTTTAACTTACAGAGGAAAAATGAATGGTTTGTCTTTAAGTTTTCATCAAAAAGCACTGGAGTACATTTTAAGTACATATAAAGTTCTGCCACAGAATCCACAAGTTTGTGTCAAAAGCACTGAAATACATCAGATACATATAAAATACTGCCATTTCAGCTTTAAATAAGTTTTTGTTCATTAGAGAGCAACGGTAAAAAGAAATGTAACAGTTGGTATTTTAGCAAAATTGGAGATTGATTTTAGAATATTTTCCCTCAAACTGGCTCCAGGGCAGTATCTAACTGTTTTGTAGCCATTTTGCCTGCTTTCTGTTATACGTCCTAATAAAAGAGATAACACGCTCAGGTTGGCTACTATTTGGTTAAGGAACATTATTCATTTATTCTGTAGTTTTCACCTGTTTTGTAAAATTCTACTCCTTCACAGAAACATATGGCACAAGGCTGATAGCAATATGTACTGAAGGAATTGTATTAATTTCAAAATGATCTCAGAATAAATATTGATAATTTATCTCTCAATTTTCCTATTTTATTCCTTATTTATATTGTTAAGAAACAACATTACTTTCTTTGAGAATGAATATAGTTGTAGTATCTTTCATTATGACTCCCTTTCCAGTATAGATTATTTTGCCTGTTTTTCAGGAATGTCAATTATAGTTCAATTAGGCTATCAGTAAATCAATCACTGTACTCCTCACGCTGACAAATGAAGAAAAGAAAAGGAGGAGGAGGAGGAAGAGGAGAAGAAGGGGGAAACATAATATTTGTTTTTCCATATGAAGTCTTGTTTAAAATTATTTTTTTATTTTACTTATTTTGTCTTTTTCTAAGCCCAACTACTTGCCAACAATTCTTTTGTCATTAAAATATGGCTTTCAATTTATGAAGGCAAACCTTTGTTGCTTCTAGAATGGTTTTGGCAATGCTAAATGTAATCACTACGTCTGTAAAACTAATTTCTCCTTCCTCACTGAACAGACAGAGGAAGAAAGCAGTCATAGTTAAAAATAAATATCTTCAGATGTAACCACATGAAAGGAGACTTTTATTAGCACAATTAATTACCACATAACACACAAAATCAAGATGGTATCTTTCTCTGAATATTCTGTTGATTTCTATTTCTAATCTATAGAATTGGCAGTTTATAAACTGATTTAATAATAATGCTCAATGAAAAAATATTTTGAGTACAAAGTTGCCAATTTTATTCACTTTCCAGTCACCACCATCAAGAATCCTAACAAAAATCAAATTTAAAAATAACTTGTAGATTGGCTTTTCATCAGCCATTTACCATGTAGGAGAAATTCCAGATGTACTGTGTATACATATGCTGATATTTGTCTAAGCAGATCTTAACCATTTTAAAAGTTTGGAATTAACAGGGCTTCTAAACGGATGGTTTCAGACAAAGGTATTGTATAGCTATTCTATCTTTCTCCTTTTTTAAAATTAAAGTGAAAGAAGAAAATATTATTAACAATTGTTTAAAGGACCCAATCTTCTGTGAATATAGCAGGGATAGTCTCTAGATTTACATCATAATGGGGAAGATTTGTTTTTATGTTTGTTTTTATTATGCATAAAAATATTTTTTCTGTGGAAAAATTTATTCCACCTGCAATTATTTGCAGCTGCCATGTGAAGATCAAATTATACTTCTGAAAGGTTGTTGCATGGAGATCATGTCCCTCAGAGCAGCAGTGCGCTATGACCCAGAAAGTGAGACCTTAACACTAAATGGAGAAATGGCAGTAACAAGAGGCCAGTTGAAAAATGGGGGTCTTGGTGTAGTATCAGATGCCATTTTTGACTTGGGTATGTCGCTATCATCATTTAACCTTGATGACACAGAAGTTGCTCTTCTTCAGGCTGTGCTGCTGATGTCTTCAGGTGAGTGTGAACATTTTTTTTAAATATTATGAATCAACATCCTGTAAACCTTATAGAAAGATTAACACAAACTTTTTCAAACAAAAATAATAAAAATTAGATAACACTGTTAAAAAATCATTTATTATACAATGCTGATTTTGTGGCATTCAGGAACTTTAGTACAACAGATTTTCCTTAATGAGTTTGGAGATAGATCTCCACAGAAACTTTTGCTATTTCAAGTGTTCGATTAGAAAGCAAAGGGCCAATTTTTCCCTATGTGGGCTCAAACTCTGTAATTCTTGCTGTCTTTGATTTCCCATCCATTGGCAATGATAAAAGAGGAAAGGAATGGAACCACAAAGAAACAATCATTCAACAACTGCACTTCCTTCTTAGAATAAAAAAAACAACAATTTGTTAAATCAATAACTTAAAAAAAACTATTATACATGGTTTTATAATAATGTAGATATAATTGACTGCTTGTGATTGTGTATGAATATGGACCATAGACAAGCATTATGGTATAATTTCTGCCATATGGACTAGCACGTAAAAGAATCCTGGGCAAAGCTTAACATGGTTGCTGTCTTAGCTATAGCAGATCAAATAGGTGTTAAGAATTTATTTTAAAATGATAGTGAATTTTCCAATGCAGTGACCAAGGAAGTAGAAATAAAACATTGGCTTTTGCCCCCCCTCTTTTTTATTTTTATATAGGTTTTTCTTGGTGGAGTTGCAAGAGCCTTAAGTGTTATTTATGTCCTAATAGCTGTTGTTAATCCAGAGGCCAGTTGGTTTGGTGGTTAGATCATATTCAGAATCTTCTCAACTCTGAAACTCTCATGTGGTCTGGAGTCAGTTGCTATCTCTCAGCCCTATTTTATCCTTTTCTTCTTTTCACAGAGCTCTGAGATGAACAATTCACATTGCTCTGAGCTCTTTGGGGGAGAAAAGTAGAGTAAAAGTAGAAAAGTCAAGAAAGGGATGTAGTTCACAAATCAATTTTAATGGAAAGAATGAAATCTTCACTATGACTTGAGAGGCTCTGAAGAAAGCCTAACTCCCTTATGTGAGATGTAAAACTCCCAAATTTTGATATTCATAATACGAAGACAAGTCTGGTTAACAAAACAAAGGTTTATTGGAGAATAACATAAAAAGAATAAAAAGGAAAGAGAAGAAAGAAGAGGCGTTTGCAAACGCGGCCTCCTGGATCCTTCCCTATGGATTGGGTTCCAGGAGAGCACTGGCCTGGTTTCAAGTTCTGCATTTTATACCTCTACTATGCATGTCACATCTAAGGAGCTCTTTTATCTTTATAGATGTACTTTGAAGTTGTACTTAAAGTCATCCTGACCTCTTCCACCCATCTGCTGTTATCTTGTTTATTTGTAATTTTCACCTAGGGTCAAAATCCCCCTCTTTGATAGTAGGGTTTTTACTCAAAGTGTAAGTTCTTGTGTCCGGAGGATTTTTAGGCAGTAAACATTGAACAAATCTTCTCACACATTTGGCAGTGCATTGCTACATTTGTGTTACAGTGTTACATTTGTGTTAAATAGACAGTTTCATATATTACATTTCTACAATTATTTTCTACAATTTTATAAAAGAATAACTTTTATTTCCTTCAATCCCCCCTTTTTCTCTTCCACCTGAATTTATTCTTTTATACTTTTAATAGTTCATAACTTCCTATATTTTCTTTAGATTCCTGTGCAAGCAAGTTATCATATTCTGAGTCTTCTTTCCCCAGTGTTCCCCAATGGTCCTTAAATGGTCCTTCCTTCTACCAAAGAAGGTACAAAGGAAACAACAATAGCAGAAGAAAAATTCTGCAACACATAGTCCATGTTCTAGGAACACGATTTACAGGGTAGTCCAATCCATTGAAGTTTTTCTCCCACTTGGATGGAAACAGTTCAACAGGTGAGGCAAGTCGAAATTTCATTTTCAGGCCGTCCAGCTGCAGAACCTGTCACTGGAGAGGATATAATGGGACTTTCCATGGACTCACGCTTTGATTCCTTAAATCAGGAGGACTTGGCATAGTTGAGACCACTCAGGACTGGTATTTCTAGGTGACAGTTCTTTCCACCTGAATCCACTCTCCAGGAACAATGGCCAGAGACAGGTGGTAAGGCAGCCTGTACTGAGATAGAAGACAAAACCTGCGCCAGATTATGCAAATACTGAGTAACTTTCTTCTTTTCTTCATTGACATTCTTGAACCTTCATGTAACAAAAGCCTCCCATACATCATTTCAAAGAAACAAAAACAACTTTCCAGTTGAGGCCTACGTTGACATGGTCTCACCACTAAATGTTGTAAAGCTTTTTTATTTACTTATATTTATCACAGATTTGTTTAACTAAAGTATAAATACAACCATCCTGTTTTAGAAAATATTAATCATCCCTTGCGACCCCCCCTTTCAGTGGCTGCTTCTGTGTTCTAGCCATTGTTTTTTTTTTCAACATCCGTCTCCCATCTTGCAACATCCACCTCCCATCTTTAGTACATTCTTGTTCCTTCAACATTCTAAGGCTTGTGTTAAGGCATACAATTCACACATTTGGGCTGACCACATTAATGGCAGTCTCCCTGCTTAATGCATGCAATTCACAAGTCTGTGCAAACCAATTTAAAACAACTTTCCTGTTTCTTTCTTCTATTATACATTCCTTCCTTCCCTTCTTCCATTCTAACATAACTTCTTTCTTTTCTTCTTCCACCAATATTCAAGACTCCATAAACATACTTGGAGTCAGTGTATATTTTCTCTTTCTCCCTTTGTCATTTTTACACATTACTTACATGACTCTAATGGTTGGACAGGCTTTAAGAGTATAATAAGAACCCCCCCCCCAGACATACCACCTTGTAATGTTCCAATACATCTTCTAAGACTTAATATCACACTCTATCTCAGGGCTTTTCAACCTTTTCACCCATTGTACCACTTTTAAGATATGGCAATATCCAGTACCACCAGTCGCCTAGCAAAAACCTGATGACCAAAAAAAGAGGAAAAAGTGATAAAGTACAGGTAGTCCTCGACTTACAACTGTTTGCTTAGTGACTGTTCAAAGTTACAATGGCATTGAAAAAAGTGGCCCCCAAGCCACAGCTGAGCAAGACGCCTGCCCACCCAGCAGCGGACTTCCTCCTATCCAAGGTTTTCATTGTTGTGAGCATTTCTGTTGAGGATTGGCAACAGGAGTGGGGTGGGGGGTGTTTTGTTTTTATTTCCCCCATCTGCTGGGTGATTGCAGCAAGTTTTGGTCACTTGGGACACTGTGACCATCATAAATATGAATCAGTTGCCAAGCACCTGAATGTAAATCACAAGACCCTGGAGATGCTGCAACATTCCAGCTGATCGGCACTTCTTCTGGGCTCAGCAGAAGCACCAGGATCAGTGCTGCTTTCCAGCTGATTGGTGCTTCTTCAGGGCTCAGCAAAAGCACCAGGATCAGCGCCGAGCTCCAGCTGGAGCCTGGCACTGATCCTGGCGCTTCCATTGAGCCCTGACAGCCCCGAAGAAGCAGCAATCCTAGCACTTCTGCTGAGTCCTGACAGCCCTGCAGCTCCAGTCATCTCTCACTCAGGCTTGTGTGGTGCTGCCACTGGTTCAGCTCATTCCCCTCCCCCGCTACCACTTTTCTAGGATGGTCGCGTACTACCTGCCAGGTGCCAATGTACCACAGGTGGTACCCGTACCCCTGGTTGAAAAGCCCGCTCTATCTCAAACCCTGTGCACTGAACACAATTAATACAGTGAGAGCAGCAACAACACCCACAAAGATACCCACAAAATCAGCACATGTGGGAGGCTTTGGTTTTCATTTGGTTCTAGATAGAAAAAGAAATATAAAGTTTACTCCTTTTTCCTCTATTACCCCTCCTTCTGTCACGAAGATTGACTATTAGTCCATTAAGTCCTTCGGAACTTTAGCTTCAGTGGATCTCCTTTGTGAGATTCCACTTTCCACTCCTCTGGGGCTGGCATGGGCCCTTTTACTCGGGAGTAATGGGTCCAACCTTTTTCAGCTGTCTGGATAGCTGTCTCAGTGGTTAACAAGACGATGTAAGGTCCTTCCCAAGTTGGAGTTAGTTTTTCATCTCTCCAGGCTTTTATCAACACCCACTGTCCTGCTTTGTATTGGTGTATTGCAAAGTCCAAGGGTAGAGTTTGGGCAAGAATGCCTTTCTGTCACAGGAGAGAAAAACATCTGGACAGTTCAAGTACATATTTTCTAATCTTTAAATTATCTTTTAATTCAATTCCTGGTAATCCCTCCTTCCCCATCTACTATCGTATCTTCATTATGTCTTTCTTTTTCTTGTTTTTTTCTTTCTTTTTTTTTCCCCCCAACTACTTTGCTATGAACAAGTGTATACCTCCTTTAGGCTTCCTGATTAAAATTGCCCACACTTGATAAGAAATGCTAACCACCAAGACGTCCCCAAATGTCAATTTTTGACAAAAATGCTACTGGCTGCCTCTTTCCCCCCAATTCTGGGTCAAAACCTCCTCCAAGCCATTACTTTGTCCTTGTTTATAAATAAATTACCTAGCGGAGCCAACAAAGGAGAGCTCACCAAACTCTGTTTGCATTTGTTAACATAAGCTCTTTTTCTAACAGTTTTGCATACAAATCTTTAATCAAAACAGCATAGCTATTTATAATCCCAAAATTTTTCTCAACTTCTTTGTTTTAACTTCACAAAAAAATAAACAAGTTTAACAAGATATACTGAGTTACTGAAATAGTTTTTTTTTTATTGAAAATTTTTATAAGTTTTTACAAAAAACAGAAAGAAATACAACAATACAAAAACAAAAAACAACATATACAAAAAACTAAACATAACATCCCCTTCCCCTTCCCCCCCAAAACACCTCCCTTCCCCCCCCCTGAGCTTCCCAGAGCAGAATATAGGCTTAATTAAAAAAGAATTAAAAAATTATATATAAAAAAGAAAAAAAAATAAGACTAATATATAT